CTGTTAACGACTGGTTAAAATTGTACTTAGGGTACTTATATAATATTTTACGAGCATATATTATGTACTCTAATATACGTATATTCTTTTGTTTGTATTTATATTAATTTTATTATTATTTGTAAGTAACTTGTCGCTCTCTACCTTCAACACAAGCATTCGCTTTTAGAAGGTAGATAATCTTTAACCTTATCATGTAAATTTTTGTATTTATGTAATAAATGGATTCTATTCAAAAAAAAAAATTCTATAGTTTTTATATTCTAAGCAGAGCTATCGCTATGTATTTATTGGTTTTACAGTAATTCAAGAATTTTTCTTAGTTGTCAAATGTCAATTGTCATTACCAATGGGCAGTTAATGAACTTTAACCATCAACTATTTGATGTAGGTTTCTCATAACAAATTGGGGCTGATAGGGGTTAACAGTTCTTATAGACTCACATATCCGGCCTGTTAGCAAAGAACAAACTATTATCTAAATACTAAACCATAGATTACATATTTCGTTACCTATTTTGTTTTTTTACTAAGTCGTAATGGGGCGGAAAAAAAATTGTCTAGGAACAGCAATTGTGTAAATCCGTCTCTGGATACTAAAATAATATTTACAGACCGAGTATTTTAATAATAAAAGATTAAAAAAAAATTGATACTAACAAAAGATTAAATTTAGTCAATATGTTATTTTATAAAATTAGATAAACATTTTTTTACAATCTATCAAAAGTCAACAATCGATTTCGGATACTGTTATTCTTGTTTTCGATGTAACTTAATATACATAAGACATAACTATAATAGAATAATCTCAGAACCTGACATTATTTTGATTAAGGGGCATTAACTGTAACACATGAAGTCATGAAGACGTGAAGTCGAATAAATCTTTTTATCTTTGTAATTAATACTTGATAGATAAMATAAACTTAACCAATCGAAAAATTGTTCGTTCTTTGTTTATAATTCAAATAAAATTACAAAATAATGTCAAATTCAATGAAAAATCATGGAGTAAATTCGCTGACTATCGTTTGAAAAAGAAC